ACAGCTGCCTATGATACATTCTCCACATAAGGGATTGCTAGCCAGAACTTAGGGTCCTCTCCTTTCGACCGCTCATGGTGGGGCTTCTCAAGACACTTGCTTACAAAGGACTTTGGAGGAAGTCGACAGTCGGACGAGCCTAGGTCTGCACCCGAGCGGGGCAGTGTCCGAAGTTCTGGCCTGGTGACAGTCATCCTAGCAGACACCTTGAAAATGATTGGTCAGACCAGACTAGAGTGCGCATGTGCGCACCCTTTGAAAAGCAGTAACCTGATAAAGCAGTGACTGCACAGTGTGTGGAATTGTTTAATGACAATTCGCTGTATCGTTCTCGGGGTACCATCGAACCAAAACAAAAGCAATTTTCGATAGATAAGTTCTGTGGGAAGGTACAGAAAAGACGAGCAGGTGATAGTTAAGCACAACCCGGTACCAGTGGGATTAATTTCACAAGAAGGGAGGGCCCGCCTGGCTCAGAGGAGGATTCTCCGTCCACATCGTAATCCCTCTCCTCCTCCCCACATCCTCATCGTCTACCTTAAGGCAGCAGCGACTCTTTAGAAGGAAAATTAAAACTGAAAGCAGTACAAAAGCATTTATAATAATTACGTATGGTAGAATTACATTCTAAAATTTTATATTGATATTTTTTAAGAGTGAAACGGATGAATTTTATTTCGAATCTTTTAAATGGGTAAATACGTTTCGCTAGACGAGTGTTTCACACGATGTGCTCGGTGACGGAACGGATTACGTCAACCGTGGCTTCACTGTTTTTGGTTCCAGCGCCCACGACACTGCGCCACGCCGCTGCCAAATCCGTTAAGGTCTTATTAAGAAAAATGATTTATGCGCAGGTGTGTTTAACGTGAGTATCCAACGTGTGCTTTAACTACGCTTGTGCGCCTCCCCTGCGGCAACCTCACAATATAGCAGACACTTATCAAACAATTCTTACGACGCGGTCAGTGCAGTGACGTTGTGTCAGCCTCAGAATGGCATGGAGAATGAGGATTCCGATTCCTTCTAGGAAATCCGCTTCCATTATCCTGTCTTGCCACATTCTGAAGAGACAGCTGAGATGAATCTGGTTCAGTTTCCTTGTTTGAATTTTTATAGATTATCCAAGTCTTTGCGCCGTAAAAGAACATAGTCGAAATGGCGCTTCTGTAGTGCCCCCGCTGCGCTAGCGGATGCGCTGGCACCAGTTTCTGCATACCCTAGTCTTGTCTGGCCAATCATCTCCTGCAGCTGAGTAACACGCGACCGCGCTGCAGATGGTGCGTTCTCACACTTCGGACGACGGTCCCTCGCAGATGATCAACTTCCTTCAAGCTATTCTCCACTACCTTTTTACAAAATACACTATTCCTCCCACCTGGCGTCCCAGTTTTTCTCTTCCGACAGGGAACCGGACCTGGAGATGGCAGCGATTAAATACAAGAGATGCAATCCTTCGAAATCCTGCCCGAATCTGCAGGTCAGGTTTGCAATTGAATCGTCATTCTTGATGTTTTTTGAAATGGTACATTCTAGGTTGGCGAATTTATTCACAGTCGCGAGCCAAATTCCGTTCACATTGACTCTAAGCTCCATGTTTTCGGCAGACAGGGCTGGTTGACGCTTAATAACCGTCTTCTCCGCATTGATGGCCAGTACGAAGTTTATGCAGCCGTACGCAAAAGGATTCATACTCCACTCCATACTCCAAATTCATTGTGGATTTGAGCACGCAACTGGCCGCGAGGAGGAGACTGTGGGATAATATGTGGTCCGGCCGTATATCAAAAGATGAACGTGTCCCAACATGTATAAGCTGGTTGATATGATAAGGAATGGAAAGCAAGAGTTCAAGGGACAATTTAATAAGGTGTGACAAGCGTAGAATGCAAGCGATAGGCAAGTGACTACCAGACAAGTGAAATCCAGCCATGAATGGGCCGGAGTCCAGAGGCGCAGTTCGGCAAGTAGATCACCGGGTCCGGAAAACTATAACCGAACAGTAGATCGCCGGTTCTGGTAGTGACTGAGCGTAAACAACTCCCCGCAGTAAGCTCCTGGCCTTGAGCAGTGGTTGGCCAGTGAAGCCAGACAGAGGGTGACCTTAAACGGAGGTTTTGACAACCTGGAGCGCGTGATCAAAGCATGGCTAGGAAATCCAAGGTCGCTACAAGACCATAAACGCTGGTCGTGGAGTTTTAGTGACTTACTCCGCGCAGGCAAGCATGTGCCAAGGCTCACTACTGCCAAAGAGTACACATGCACTGGCCACCTACGCCTGTCCGTTTAGCCAATCCATCTGGCCAATCACCTGTCAAGGCCGACTCACACAGAGGCCGCTTCAGACGCTGTTGCGATCCTCGCAGTCATTTCAATTCAGACGAGAGGAAATGGCCGACGGTTGCTCGCTTGTCCAAAAGACAAATTCCTCCCTTCTGTTCTCCTTTTCCATCTGTGCAGAATAAACTCTGTGTTATAGTAGGAGTATTCCAGCAAAGACAGGCGACCCTAGAATAGCTGTTTCTGGCTTATTGGCTGTCATCAGCCAGGGTAAGCCAACTCTGGTGTAGCCGCTGAAATTGCTGCCACACTCTATTTTCAAACTCGCGTCTCGCCGGTC